CTCTTCCTTCTTCCTAGTCTGTCTCAGTCTGTAAGCTGGGCTGATGATACCTGTGCACCATGTGCATCCCTCTGGGTTTGAAACACCAGTGGCTCAGCCTCAAAACTCACATCAGCATGTCACCATGGTAGGACAAACCGACAAACAAATTTGTCTCCCTGTTAGAAACCTCTATTAAGTAGTCTTGCTGAAAAATTGAACCTGAACCTGTGCAAGCCTCTAAATCTATCAGTGGGCAAGAGGAACATGTTAAATGAATCACAGTTACATAACCAGCCAAACCTAAACTGTGAGAGACTCTACAAGACAAGAGTATCCACATTTTCACAAAATCATTGCAGAAATCAAGGGGAGAACTTAAATTGATTAAAGGAGACTTCAGACATATCAGAAGATTGTAATATGTGGACTCTATTTTAGCCCTGATTCAAATAAATGAACCAGTAGGAGACTTAAGCTTTAATCAGGGACATACTGACTTTATACTTAATGATACTGAGAATTTGTTAAATTTTTCTTAGATAGGATAATGGTTTTGTGATTTTGTTTATAAAAAATCTTTATCTTCTAGAGATACTGCTTAAATACTTACATGTTGAAATATATGACGTCTGGAAATTGCTCAAAGTAAATTGGGAGGTGATGAGGAAGAAAGTGAGTAAGAGTATAGACAAAAAAAAAAAGTAGCTATAAATTAATAATTGTTTAAGCTAAGCGATGCTTATTACCTGAGTGACCTTGTACAAGTTACTTAATCTGGCCAAGCCCCAGTTTCCTCATCTGTAAAATGAAGGCTATAGGGATATTCTTCTGTATATTGTAATGGGAAAAAATAGAATGCAAATAATATATCTAGCACAGAACCTGATACATAGTGTGTGCTTAAAAAATGGAAATTTTTGTTACTGTAACAATAAAATATCACTGGTTCACTTTTGGTATATTATAGTGAATTTTTGGGGGGAGATGGAACACAGAATTAATTATTAAAACCTAGTGTTTAGTACAGAGGGTTATTCTTCCTGTCATGGTATTATGGGAAATATGGTTAAACATATTAGGGTTCAAAACCTGATATTAGCATTAAACTGAATATTCTGGGCGTTAGCATCTGTAAAATAGAAGTCATTATATACACTGATTTCTCACTTTTCAACATGGTTAGGTTGCAAACACCAAGTTGTGCAAAAATTGACCTTATAGGGAAATGAAGGATAACCACAACAGATCAGAAAATGGAGGATGATTGTATCACTACGTAACTGCAAACTTTGAGAGGCGTGGCCCAGCCAAGTTGACACATAACTTAAACCATCACACCCAGCATTATTCTCATCTCACACCTTGGTGTTCATTACTGTCAGGGGTGTGTCATTAATGCACAAAATATTCAGATGGTAGATTTTTTACTGTTGTAAATGTGAAAAGTTGAAAAGTCAGATAACGAGATATTAAGTAAGGAGTAGGTGTACTTTGTAGGGTGCTAATAATTGTGTAAGTGTTTTAATGTATATGAGATAGTAGCAAATTAATTAGTGCTATGCCTAGGTCATAACAGTCATTCAGTTAAATGGTTATTACTGTTCTGTATTTCCAAAATATACTCAGCATATCATCAACCCAGATGACCCAGTCCATGGATGACAAGCATCCCTTACCCAAATTCTTTATTGCTAATCATTTCCTTTCTTTCTCCGTCTTTTTCTTCCATCAGTTGATTTACGAGGACTGTATGGATCTGATTGCAAAGCTACCTTGTGTTGCAGCAAAGATCTACCGGAACCTCTACCGGGAGGGCAGCAGTATTGGGGCCATTGACACAAAGCTGGACTGGTCCCACAATTTCACCAACATGTTAGGCTATACTGATGCTCAGTTCACTGAGCTCATGCGCTTATACCTCACCATCCACAGGTGAGCTAGGCTGTAGCCATAGCTAACCATAACCACTGTTGTTGTTGTTGTTATGTGCCGTCGAGTCAGCCCTGACTCATAGCGACCCCTCCTTGGGTTTCCGAGGCAGTATCACTACGGAAGTAGGATTGCCCAACCTTCCTTCCGACCATAACCACTAGGTGCCTGGTTTGGTGGGAAATTTTAAAGAAAGCTCCTTAACATTCCCATCTTCTGGGAATAAGTGATAGGTAACAAGGAGATGGAAACATGGCATAAGGGATGATATAAGCAAGAAAGGGATTTAGTAAGGTCAGGAGCTATAGGGAAATAAGCATGCTAATAAGAACAAGATGGTACTTTTAGCTAGGAAGAGGTACTAGCTGCTCACATTAGGTAGTCCTACAGCTTTCCAAGGGCTCCCTCTTCTGGCCATTGATGTTAAAGCAAAAGTGGAAGTCGGAGAGTTTGGCATACAGGTATTATCAACAAATAACCTCTCCAGCTCTGTGGATTAATGAACAAATGCTGGTAATGAGATTGGTCCATCTCTTAAAAGAGCTTATGTATAACTGACTGGTTATAGGCTGGTATAAGCCCAGAACTAGGCTAGTATGTGATAAGAACAGTAAGGTCTGTATTTCTATAATCTGCCCTTTATTTCTCCTCCTTCCCTTGGCCTTGACTCGCCTTTCTTACTTTCCCACAGTGACCATGAGGGTGGCAATGTAAGTGCCCATACCAGCCATTTGGTGGGCAGTGCCCTTTCAGACCCCTACTTGTCCTTTGCAGCCGCCATGAATGGGCTGGCAGGGCCCCTACATGGGCTGGCAAATCAGGTAAAACTATTCTTTTTTTTTTTCTTTTGAATTTTTCTTACTCCCATCCTTTATTTCTGATCTTGGCATTCTCTCCTGGAATATGTATTTAACATTCTTCTTCTCCAAACCTTATCCATAGGAAGTGCTTGTCTGGCTGACACAACTACAGAAGGAAGTTGGCAAAGATGTGTCAGATGAGAAGTTACAAGACTATATCTGGAACACACTCAACTCAGGACGGGTAGGCAGAGGGGCTTAGCAACTAGAAAAGAATCCAGGGTCTACACTTTCAAAGAATTAGGAGAAAAGAATGAAAGGTCCCTATGCTATTTTAAAAAAAAAAAAACTAAACTAATGGTCATCAAGTCAATTCTGACTCAGTGACCTTATAGGATAGAGTAGAACCACCCCATAGGGTTCCCAAGGCTGTAAATCTTCATGGAAGTAGACTGCCTCATCTTTCTCTTGCAGAGCAGCTCCTGAATTTGAACCGTCAGCCTTTTGGTTAGTAGCCAAATGCTTTAACCACTGCACTACCAGAGCTCTTCCCTATACTATTAAAAAAAAAACAAAAAAAACACGGCCATCAAGTCCATTGCGACTCATAGTGACCCCATTGGGTTTCCAAGGCAGTAAATCTTTATGGAAGTAGGTTGCACCATCTTCCTTCTGTGGGTTTGAACCACTAACCTTCTGGTTAGCAGTCAAATAACTTACCAGGGCTCCTTTCCCTATGCTATAGAAGGTCGTTTGTTTGTTTTTTCCCCTCCTCCCCCATTTGTTTACCCTGAAGAATTTAGAAAAGATAGTAGGATGAGAATTTCTACCTGATAAGAATCTCAGAAGGCAGTGAGTTGATTAATGGGGGAGGAACGGTTCCAAAATGGAGGGTGAGAATGGTTGCACAGCTTGAGTATAATCAGTGTCACTGAATTGTACATGTAGAAATTGTTGAATACCAGCTGTCTTTTTTCCCTCATCCTTTGCAGGTTGTCCCAGGCTATGGCCATGCAGTACTAAGGAAGACTGATCCACGATACACCTGTCAGCGAGAGTTTGCTCTCAAACACCTCCCTAATGATCCCATGTTTAAGCTGGTTGCTCAGCTGTATAAGATTGTGCCCAATGTCCTCTTAGAGCAGGGCAAGGCCAAGAATCCCTGGCCCAATGTAGATGCTCACAGTGGGGTGCTACTCCAGGTGAGTCCTTACTTCCTTATAATTTGTACCAAATCCTGTTGTTCCTCCCTTACTCTTTTGATAAAGTTGCCTGTGGGGAGGTGTTCTCTTTTCAGAATCCCAATTGCTGTACTTTGCCCATTGTCATTTCTATTCAAGGATGACTAGGCTAAATCTCTGGAGAAAATGGGAAAATGGAATCACTAAGGTTTCTGTCACCCTAGACTTTTTCTACATGCCCACCTCTGGGTCTTTAACAAAGCCTTTTTTTTTTTCTGTTTTACAGTACTATGGCATGACAGAGATGAAATACTACACGGTCCTGTTTGGGGTGTCACGGGCACTGGGAGTACTGGCACAGCTCATCTGGAGCCGAGCCCTAGGCTTCCCTCTAGAGAGGCCCAAGTCCATGAGCACGGATGGTCTGATAAAGTTTGTGGACTCTAAGTCAGGGTAAAACTGGAGCCTGAAGGGAAACTGACTACCAGAAAGTGAGGAAACAAAAAAAAAAATTAAAGTATCATTTTATTTGAGGGGGCCTTTAAAGATTTGAGATAAAATTGTATCTGAAGCACTGATAGTAAGTTTGAAGTTAAATACAAATTAAGACTTTAAAAGATGAAAAGTGACCCCTTTTCTCCTAGCCAGATCCCTTTCCCTGCCCAGTATGAGTTGCCTGTCAACCAGGACTAATGCATGTGATATGGTTCAGATTTGGCTTCCTGTCATCTCTGGAATGGGAATCTGGCCCTTCTTTCCCCAGATCCAAGCTGGTTACAGAGACTCCGCAGTCACTTCAGAGCTTTTGGTTCTACTCTGCCAAGCCCTCAGTATGCTGGCAAACCAGGATTCTATCCATTCTGTTTCCATAGAACTTATGTTGGATTATCAGCTGTACTAAATCCATTGTCCTCTCCCATGTACACAGACACCTCTAGCAAGACCTGTTAGCTAGCTAGCTAGCTAGTTAGTTTTTTTCCCCCTCCTCCCCCATTTGTCTACCTTGAAGAATTTAGAAAAGATAGTAGGATGAGAATTTCTACCTGATAAGAAGCTCAGAAGGCAGTGAGTTTATTAATGGGGGAGGAACAGTTCCAAAATGGAGGGTGAGAATACTGTCACAATTTTATAGGCTCTCAGGTAAGCATAGAGGCCATGGCATTTGTTGTGACTGGCACCGAGTATATGATTTTATTTCTTTTTTTAAAATTATCCCATTAAAGTTAAGGTCTGGGGGTGTTCTATCCCCCACTACTCTAGCATTCACCTCCTCTCAGACTCTGTACCTGCTGTGCCTCAGACTAAAGTTGCTCTGGGCCTTCCCCTCTTGGTCATTACTAGAAACCGTTTCAGCAGGGTCTGTATACCACTTTCTGATCTGTGGTCTTGCCCAATCATTTGAATTTATCAGTGCTTACTATAATCTAAGCTTTTTACCTCCATGGAACATAAGCCACTATCCTCTGACCTTTTTTTTTTTTTCTTTCCCCTCTTTCATTATGCTGTGGGGCATAGAACAGGGACTTAAGAATGACCAGCATGATATCTTCATGATCTGGCCCCAGGGGTACTATCACCTCTTTCTGAGCAGGGAAATTAAGATGGACATGGACAAGGTCCCTTTTGAATATCAGGTCCTGAGTCTAAGGAAATTAAAAATAGTAAGCTTCCCTCCTCATCCCATGCCATAAGAAAATACCCTCTTATTTATCAAAGTCCTTTTCCTGCCTCTTCCCCAAAAGCTCAAAATACAGTGCTTGTTTTAGAAGCCCCATTTACACAGGTTTTCAGTGACTCAGAATGCTCTACCACCTTTTCTTTGAGAAAGGACTGAAATACACTCCTACTCCTACTCCTACTGTGCTCCCTTCCTTCCTCCTGCCTGTGTTTGTGTGGATCCCCAACTCCCAGAAACATGCTGTTGAGATGGACACACTGTCTGTAAACCCCTGGGTAACTGTCAAGTCCTGTTGCAGACTTCAGGTTGTTCTGTATAAAATGCAAAATAAATGTTTTTATTAACAGTTCTTGGACTTACATTAAATAAGGCCTGGAAGAATCTATTGTAAGGTAAGGAATCTGACTAGTAAGAACCTGGACTTAGTTGTAAATTATCCTGTGTGTCCCTTTATCTTTAGGTGCGTTCGGCATTCATCTTCATCAGAGGTCAGGCTTCCTGGGAGATTTCAGTTTTTCTTCAAGGTTGGGAAGTCCTTGACATCTAGCCCCCATCCTTCCTAATTTTGTCAGAGAGCAGAACACTCAAGGTCTATAGCTAAGACCTTACAACTGCTTATGTGATTAATCCAAGGAAACTGGTCCAGCCCACTGGGTGAAAGGAACTAACTATACCAAGGACAAAATGGGATAGGTCTGCAAACTTAGAACCTCAGCCACTAGAGGGCTCCAATACTTTGTGGAGTGTCTACTCTCTTACATCTTCCATTATAGGAGGCCCCCAAAATATCAAGAGGTGGTCCTCAGCGCCTCAGGTGCATGGGAGGTCTGAGACCAAATGCTTCTATCCTGAGGCTCCTGCTGTCACTGACCTTCTGAAATGTCTATAAATAGTCAAGGGGGTAGATCCTAGGTCCTGGCTTGTAGAATGTGCTACTATAGTTAGCAGGGACGCTATGTTCAAGAAGCCTTTTTGCTGTACCTTCACTCTCTTGGGGAAGGAAGCCATGACTTTAATCTGCTTTATATACTTACTCACCTAAGAAACAATACAAGAAAGCCAAATTCACACGGTCATAATTTATTGAAATTTTATAAAAATTCTGGCCAAGTGGAAGAATACGGTACAACCAAGAGTACAAAGACAACTCTGTTCAGTACTTTTTTCCTCCTTGGCCCTGTGGCACTGACAGTAAGCCCCTTGCTCTCCACTAGCCAGATAGCATGGAAATAGTCTTAGAGTGAGGTTATATGGATTTTAAGCTGTGGGGGCAGGTTGCTATTCATTCTGTGGAATCTTGGAAAGAGCAAGAATTACGTACCACCAGTACCTCTGCTGACAGAGAATGGAAAAGTTCAGCTTATTCAATCCTTTGAAAAGTTGCTCTCTTCCCCTGGTGAGACACTAAGGCATCACAGCAGAGCCCAGAGACAACTACAAAGTCCTGATTCTAACTCAGTGTGAGAGAGCTGCAGGCACATGGGGCTCTCAGGATGAGCCTGACCCTTTCCTTGGTATATCTCCTTCCATACCCCTTGCCTTTTCCTTTCTTTCCCCAGCACTTCCAGCCAGTATAGAGCCCAGTTTCTGGGGATTTGAGAGAGGGGACCAGTGTCTTGAAAAGACTCCTCTCAGGCTGCAGCAAGAGCAAAACTAAATAAATAATTAGGTAGGGGAAGTTGAGGAAAGGCCAGGGAACAATCCTTTGCCTCAAGTCTGGTGCACCTCATGGAACATCAGTTCACGGGGGATGGCTGTCTCTGGACCAAACTTGGTGGCTGCCCGGCGCTCGAAGGCAGCAACATTCTGTTTGACAACCTCATCAAAAAACATGGTGGCCAGCTGAGAGTGCAGCAGAGAACGAAATTCAAAGGAAATCTGGGAATGGGTAAGAGATAGTCAGAAACCCTTCAAGACAGTATTGGACAGCCCTTGGCCAATTGCAAGGATGCTATTCCTCAGTGCCTTTTCATAACACCACCACCCCCTGACCCCAGTTCTTTAGGTACCCTGAAAAATGCCCCTTTAGGACTGAGCACAGAGTACAAGTTTAAGCTAAGCTCAAAGCGCTGGAAACTCACTGTCACTGACTTAGGAAATGCTAAGTGCTAGTTATACTTACAGAAAAATTGTCAAAGCACTTCAGCTATGCCCCTACACTCAACCCAAGCCCCTTGCTACACAGCCTCCAGACTCACCGAAAAGTCCACAGTGCAAGTTCGAGGGTAGGCAGGAATTCCAGGGCTGAATCGCCAAATGGTCTCTAAGTGGTTGAAGAGCTTGCCATCAGTGCAAACAGCCTAGAATAGGACAGCACCCAGGTTGTTAAATAATATTATGATGGAATAATACCTATGCTATGTATGTACAAATAAAACTAACCCTTGTCGAGTCAGTTCTGACTCAGTGACCCCATGTGTAACAGAATATACAGCTCCATAGGGTTTTCTTGGCTGTAATCTTTATGGAAACAGATTGCTAGACCTTTTTTCTGTGGTGCCGCTGGGGGGTTCGAACTGCCAACCTTTAGGTTAGCAGACAAATGCAAACCATTTGTGTTCCCAAGGACCTTATACTAAGTATAGGAACCCTCTCCCCCCAAAAAAAGTAATCAAAGATTTTTCATGCTTTCTAATATTAGGTACTTAGATACATAAAATAATAAAGGAAGGTCAAAATAACCATTAAATATGAAAATGGTAGAGAACATAAAAAACTTCTTAGGTAATCCCTCCCAGACAGGTCTTACCTTGACCATGTGAGGTTTGACCATAGAAACTGCTGAGGTATAACGTTCCATGATAGGTGGGAAGCCAACCTCCAATTGGGCCTTCAGGTGCCCCTTACGGCTGGATACTACCAAAGACTTCTTACACCAGGGAACAAATTCACGATACTCCTGGACATTAGACACCACTTCAAACATCTCCTGCATTGAGTACCTAGTGGAAGGGAAATCACAGAGGCCAAGGAACTGCCAGCTGGGTCAGGTTCCTCCTTGCCCCACACCTTTGCCCAGCTAACCATGTATCTGCAGGAACTAGAGATCCCAAACAATCCTGGATGAATGGATGAATGACTTCCTGAAGGCCAACATGTAAACTCCCATATTATTAACAGTGCCTTATGTTTTATAGTTTACAGAATGCTTTTGCATTCATTATCTATTTTGATCTTAAGAGAGCCCACGTAGGGAGAACAGAGGCTGTGATCACCCAAGAGCTCAGATCCCAGCTCTACAACTTTGTAACAGTGTGACCTGAGGTAAACTACCTGTGCCTCCATCTTCTCACCTGTAATGTGGAGATAGTGATAGTACCTGACTATTGGTTTGTTAGGAGGATTAAATGAGAAAATCCATGTAAAACGCCTAGCTGCTAGCATGGAACCAGTGCTCAGTAAGTGTTAGCTATTGTGCTCAGGATATATACAGTTGGGTCACCAGAAAAAATGCCCTGTAGTCCAACTCAAGGGAGCCCTGGTGGTGCAGTAGTTAAGTGCTCAGCTGCTAACCGAAAGGTCAGCAGTTCAAACCCACCAGCCATTCCGCTGGAGAAAGATGTGGCAGTCGGCTTCCGTCAAGATTTACAGCCTTGGGAACCCCATGGGGCAGTTCTACTCTGTCCTACAGGGTCGGTAAGTCAGAATGGACTCGATGGCAACAGGTTTGGTTTTTGGTTTAGTCCAACTCTTGTCACATTTAATACTGAAGCACAGCAACTAAGAAGAAGGGAAAAATTAAGGTTGGAAAGCTAGGAGGGTGTAATATAGCTGGAGAAGGAGATGGCTGAGAATAAATCTTGCCCACTAATGCTTCCCTTACGTTTTAGCTTGGGCACAGTTATTTGTGGGGGAGGGATGCAGGGCAGAGGAAGATGCTCACCCCATGATCCTACGCTCCGAGTAAGCCTTTCGCTTGTTGGTGAAGGGAGCAGCGAAGCCCATGAAGGAACGGCTGGGAGATAAGCCAGCCTCAGACGCCAAGATCGGGGCAGCGCGGGGCAAGAGAAGGCTGCAAGCGGTCAGAAACCTAAGGCCAAAAGAAAAAAAAAAAAAAAGCAACTTCACGATTTTTTTACTCTTTAACCATTCCCTGAAAGGGGAAGGGTCGCATCCCAGAAGAAGGTCGTTCAGACAAGCTTCACCACCCCCCCAGCACCTGCTGCAGCCCGCCAGACTCTCTGGCCAAGCAGTCACGAGTGCGAAAGGTCGAGGGTGGCTGAGGACAGAGCAGGGGGAGGGAATGGGGAAGACCGGGCGCATGTGAAGGGCCTGTTGCCTTTGACTGGGGGTTATGCTACTCCTGAAAGCCAGGACTCGTAGGAAGCATCACTGTCCCCGGCCCTACCGAACTTGACAGTGCCTGGGCGCCCGCGAGAGGCAAGAGGTGGTTGGGCCCCCACCCCGGGAACTTCCCCTCGCGTACAACTTGAAAAAGCGTTCTCAACGGCTTTTCATTCGTTCCCCGAGACATAACCACTGCGGTCCGCCGCTTCGCCCGCATCCGAAGGTTGCAACCCTTCACTGTCGATCTTAGGGGTCCCGTACGACCCCTTCCTTCCCTCACGGACGCCCGCACCTCCCTCTCACCTCATTGGTTGCAACGGTCGCGGAGGCCCCTGGGGCGGGGCCGGGCGGAGGCGAAGGCAGCAGCAGCGCTGGGCCGCCGCGCGCGTCCCAGCCGGGAGCCGCCGCGCACCCGCCGAGGCCATGCGCGTGTCTACTTTGCCTTGTACGCTCTGACTGCCCCTGCTGGCCCTTTTCACCCAAGAGAAGCAGCACGCGGCCACCGGGCGGGCTCAGGGTTCCCGAGCGCAGGGCCGGCGCGGGACTGCAGTTCTTCTCTCCCTTCACCCGCCCGGGCGGCTCGGTTAGCTAGTACTGAATCCGCAACCGCTGCTCCTGCAGCTCCCGGTATCCCCACGTCACGCCGTTGCCATGGCTCGGTAGGAGGAGAGGGAGGAAGTAAGGCAGACTACGCGGCTTGTCGGGAGATGTAGTTTCACACCTCTGGCAGGAAAGGATGTTGGGGTATGCGCTTGAAAAACTGCAGAGATGGCTGGGTGCAGCGGCGTCACCAGGCAAACTACTTGGCCAGTCTGTGGTCACGAACCTGATGCATAGGCACAGAGAAGACTTCCTGGGGTTTAACAGTAACATTGGTCCTCTGAATGTCTCTCTTAGAGCCTTTATCAAATTCTACCTTGTTTAGAATTAGAAGAAGCTCTATTCATCTTCGACCGAAGGAAGGTTGGGTAATCTACTTCAGTAGTGCTACAGCCTCGGAAAGCCAAGGAGGGGTCGCTATGAGTCGGATCCGACTCCACGGCAATGGTTGCGTTGCGTCGCGTTGCTATTCATCTTTGTAGATCCTACGGTGTCTAGCTGTGATTTGCTTCTTTGGGAAAGGAAATTAACTTTCCAGGCTCTGGGCTAAGACTTTGCATAATTTTATTTTTCAGTACTTATAGAAAGAAGTCGAAGTGGGAGGAACCAGAATTACTTTTAAGGGAGAGACTTATCTTTTTGCCTGGAAAAGTGTCCACGAGATGAAGGGTTAGATTTGACCCCAAGAGCAGAAACCTAGGCAATGAAATATCACTATACTGCTTTCCATGATACAAGGAGAGGGGGAAAAAATTGCTCTTGATAAAAATGGGGGGACAAGAGGAAAAAAGGGGGGGGGATTAGCAGTTAGAGACTGGATCTGTTGTTGGGTCCCGTGGAGCCCTTCCTGCCAGGTCTGTCTTCTGCAGAGCCAGTGGGATTCGAACCACCAACCTTTCATTTAGCAACTGAATTCTTTGCACCATTCTTTGCACCAGTCATTATTAGACAAACTGGGTGATTGCAAGAGCTGTTGAAATTCTCCCATGGTGGAGTGGAAGAAAGATCATTTTAAAATAGTGGTGCCTCCTTTTGTGTTTAAAGATGGTTCTCTGGTAGCATAGTGGCTAAAGGCACTTGACTGCTAACCAGAAGTCCTCGGAAAGAAGATGGGGCAATCTATTTCCGTAGTGATACTACCTCGGAAACCCAAGGAGGGTCACTATGAGGTCGGGTATGACTCTATGGCACATAACAACAACAACAACATGCTATTATAGTGCAATCCCCTCTTCTGCTTTCTTTTGTTAGTCATGCTCTACTTTCTGGAAAGCATTGCCTGAGTGTGTGTGTTGGGGAGGGGATGTAAAATAAATAAAGGCTGCCTTCTGGGTCTAATTGGTGTCTAATAGAGACTGTCTTGCTCTGAGACAAGGGCTTGGAAGCTCATATAAGTCCTCCAGCTTTCCCCCATTACGTGAGTTAATTAGTATTACCTTTGGGACTTCCACTGGATATGAATTGATTTAGAGTTTGAGCCCATCTGATCAGGATTTCAAACAGGTTTTATACTCTGTCTGGATTTTAACATTTTGCAAGGAAGGCATTTTTATTCCTGTTTCATATATGCAAAAACTTCACAGTTACGTGCTGAAGACAGAACTCAGGTCTAGGTGATCACCAAACCCATTTTTAAAAAACTATTCTGCCTCCAAAGCATTTAGTTCTACTATCTCAATAAATACTACTGACCAAATGGAAATGTGTTGTCACCTTTTCTTGTGTTCTATTTTATTCCATCCGTCAGGGTGGCAGGAAGCCTCAAGTTAGGGAATGGTCTCACTTCTTTTGCTCTCCTAATATCTCTTCTTTAACCCCCAGCACTCCAGGGAGGACTGTTTGATCTTTTCCCTCCCACCACCACCACCAGGACACAGTATCTCCTTCCAGTTCAGAGATGATAATCTGGAGCCGCCCCTAGATGGGCATGTGACCTTGAGGGACAGCTTTACTCTTTCCAACTTTGCTCTCTTGTCCGGCCCCACCCCCTTCTGACTAAGGGTTTACACATGTGAGACAACTGCTTAGAGTGAGGAGTAAGGACCTGGTTGGGTAAAAGACAGAAATTAACTGGGATGCTGTGACTGAACTGTGACCTCATTAATATGCCTTAACCGAGTTAACTGCTACAGAATCCCCAAGGTACAATAGGCCTGCCACGCCAATTGGTTTGCTGTCCCCCGACTAATTAGATTAGCTAATTACTGCCATTTAAACTTTGCCTAGTTCATTACCTGTGCTTGAAACAACCAATTTCCTGTCATTCTACATCCCAAATGTCCTCCAAGTAATGATTCAAAACACACCTCCTCCAGGAAGACCCCCTTGACTAAACCCACCCCTCAACATTACTCTGAACACGTAATGCTGCATAACTACCATGTATCCTATCTTTTGTAGCTGTTTCAAGTGAATATGCTTGGCTGGAGAAAGGTGGCAGTCTGCTTCCATAAACATTTACAGCCTTGGAAACCCTATGGGGCGGTTCCACTCTGTCCTTTAGGGTCACTATGGGTCAGGATACAACCTCAATCTTCTCTCCATTTATTGTGATGCTGCTCATTGGTCCAGTTCATCACAATAAATGGAGAGACTTATCTTATAATCCAGAAGCCATCACAATAAATGGGGAGAAGACTGAGGTTGTCAAAGAATTCACGTTGCTTGGTTCTACAATCGATGCCAATGGAAGCAGCAGTCAGGACATTAGACGATGTGTAGCATTGGGAAGGTCAACCGCGAAGGAACTGTTTCAAGTGCTGAGGAGCAAGGATGTCTCCTTGAGGACTAAGGTGCGTCTGACAGAAGCCATGATATTTCTAATCGCCTCGTATGCATGTGAGAGCTGGACAATGAATAAGGAAGACCAAAGAAGAGTTGATGCTTTTGAGTTGTGGTGCTGGCGAAGAATGCTGAAAGTACCATAGACTGTTAAAAGAACTAACAGATCTGTCCTGGAGGAAGTACACCCGAAATGCTCCTTGGAAGCGAGGATGGCCAGACTTCGTCTCACCTATTTTGGTCATGTTGTAAGAAGGGACCATTCCCTGGAGAAGGATGTCATGCTTGGTAGGGTGGAGGGTCGACGAAAGAGGGGGAGGCCTTCAAGGAGATGGATTGACATGGTGGCTGCAATGATGGGCTCAAGTATAGCAGGGATCGTGGAGCTGGCGCGAGATCAGGCAATGTTTCATTCTGCTGTGCATGGGGTCGCTATGAGTCGGAAATGACTCGACGGCACCTAACAACAACAACAACATCGGTCAGGATCGACTCAATGGCAGTGGGTTTTCCACTAAATTATAAGCTCCACAGAGATGATGGTGGTGCCATCAAGTTGATTTTGACTCATAGTGACCCCGTGTGACAGTAGAACTGTCCCCATAGGGTTTTCTAGACTGTAATTTTTATGAGAGCAGATAGCCAGATCTTTCTCCCATAGTCATTGGATGGGTTCAAACTGCTGTCCTTTTCATTAATAGCCTAGCACTTAACTGTTGCACCACCATAGACATCATTAACTTTTAAGTTTCCATCTCCAAATCAGTGCTGTACGCAATGGTTCATCCTCAATCAACATTTGTTAAAAGAACGAAAACTGAGGTTTAAGACACAGGCAAGTATCTGCCTAGAATTACCCAAATATGAAATGAGTTCAGTAGCTGAATCCAAAAGGACTGTTTGCAATAAGAGGGCTTTGCCACCACTTATACCCTTCCTTGACCCCAGCCCTTGTGCCCTGAGCCCTGGAAATAATATGTTACCTATATCGTGTCTCTCTCTTTTTTTTTTCCCCCTGATTGAAAACCTTCTTTCTGTGCTCTGAATAATATTAAAAATAACTCTTGTAGCCCTTCCTCCTCTTTCCAGCTGCCCAGAAAACCTGGCTGGCAACTTCCCTGTTCACCTCTACCCCTGTGCCAGACTCAAGCACGTGACCCCAATGCAACCCCTGACTCTAGTTCCTCAGGTTACCAAGAGCTATTTTTGGCAATAGAGACCATGTATTCCCCTCCTCCCCATCCTCTGGGCCATATCCTAGCTCAGCCCTTCCTGGAAGATCCATCATACCCAACAGCCATGTCAACATGTCCCCACTCACATATCCATCTGAACCCCAGCTACCTTCAGTTTCAACTTCTTCAACATCAACATTACCATCATTCATCATCATCATTATCAAATAGTAAATGCCTGTTCCCATGAACTGTTCTGCTAGAGCTACAAAGAACAATTTAATGAATACTCTTGTCTTCATGGGAGCTCAAAACCCCTTTTTTCATTAATACAAAACAAAATAATTTACAGTGTAAGGAAGAAACACGAAGAAGGGAAATCTGACTCCTACTAATAAGGAGTTTAAAATTCATTCTGAAATATTGGATACCTGTATATCATAAAGATGTAAAATGAGAAACAAAGGTGTGCAGTTTAAAGAAAGGTGTGCAGCAGTGTAAACCAAGTAAGGGTTAAGGAGAGTCAACAAAGGCAAAAGGCCTTTTAACCAGGCAAGTCTTCCTAAAAGAGGTCAGTTTTAAGCAATTTTTTTTTCATTTTATTTTTTAAATTGATTTTGCTGTTCTTGTTGAGAGTTTACACAGCAAAAACATACACTAATTCAAATTTCTCCATGTAGAATTCAGTGACATTGATTACATTCTTTGAATTGTACAACCATTCTCACCCTCTTTCTCAGAGTTGCTCCTCCCTCATGAATATAAATCCCCTGCCCATTAAGATTTGTAATAAGCAGTAGTTTTAATTTTATTTTTAGTATGGCAAAAATTCAAAACATTCTAAAAGGTATATGTTGTTGTCAAGTGCCTTGATTTGTTTTCTGCTGATGGTGACTACACATGACAGAGCAGAACTTCCCCACAGAGTTTTCTAGGAGGAGAAAAGACCTGGCTGCTGCCTGCTCCTATCAAGATTACAGCCTAGAAAACCCTGTGGGGCAGTTCTACTCTATCATACAGTGTTGCTATGTATCTGAATCCACTCAACAGCACATGGCAACAACAATCTTTTTTTTTTTTTAATGACTATAACTGGTTTTTTTTGTTTTGTTTTTTGTTTTTGTTTTTTGCAACATCAATCTCTAAGAGCAGATTCTTGTTTTCCCAAGGAACTACTAGGTGGTTTCCAACTGCCAACTTTCCAGTTAGCAGCTGAGTGCTTAACCATTGCACAACCAGGGCACAAACCCATTGCCATGGAGTTGATTCTGACTCATAGTGACCCTATAGGACAGAGTAGAACTGTCCCATAGGGTTTCCAAGGCTATAAATCTTTCCCAAAGCAGACTCATCTTTCTCCCACAGAACAGCTGGGAGAAAGCTGACGTTTTGGTTAGCTGCCAAATGTTTTGACCACTGTACCACCAGGGCTACTTCCAAAGAGTATGTGTGTGTGTATATATATTTAACATATATAACTCACTGCCATGGAGTCATTTAATACTCATATCAATCCCCATTGGCTGTAAATCTTTACAGAAGCAGATTGCCTCATCTTCCACAGAGTAGCTGGTGGGTTTGAACCACTGACCATTTGGTTAGCAGCCAAATGCCTTACCACTACACCACCTGAGCCCTTAAAGAGTATATATAGTGATGTATCACTATATATAGTGATAAGTAAATTTCTCTCTCATTCCTCATTCTTTGTTTCTTTCTACAGAAAAGCACTGTTATAAATGTCTTAGGTATCTTTGCAGAGGGAATCAAGATATTGCAAGCAGTGAGGAATATAGATCCTTAGAGAGCAAGAGGGGACTTTTATATCCATACCTTGACAGGAGGGCAACAGGCTACAGTTCTTCCTAAACGTATTCCCTCCTTAGAACACACATATTGAGTGGAGGAGTTCTGAAGAGCATCCTGAATCACCTTTTAGAAAATTTACCGGTTTTTCAATCTCTACTTTGCCTCTTTCTTTTTCCCTTTCTGGCGCAATGACCTCCATCCAGATCCTCCCTGAGTGGTTGCTCTCTGGCCTCTCCAATGAGAGGGGAGCCGAGGCACCCCCATCCTGTTCTGGGAAAAAAACATCAAACCTTTTGAAGTATAGTCACCCTACCCCCTTTACCTGTTGCTATGTGCCACCGAGTCGGACCCGACTCATAGCGACCCCTCCTTGGGTTTCCGAGGCAGTATCACTACAGAAGTAGATTGCCCAACCTTCCTTCCAAGGAATGGCTGGTGGATTTGAACCTCCAGCCTTCTGGTTAGCAGTCAAGTGCCTTAGCCACTATGCTACCAGAACTTCCTCCTTCCCTCCCTCCCTCCCTCCCTCCCTTTACCTAGCAGGAGAGTAATTAGGTTGTAGAAAAGTGCCCCTTTGTTGCCCTTGGAGCCCTTCTTCAGGTGCCAAATGTCTTAGCCTCTTGGTGGAGTTGGTTTTTTTTTTTTTTTTGTCCTGCACCAGGAGGGGCCTTCTTGGGATTTCTCTCCGCACTTTGAGTACCTTTGCTATCTCCTTTCTACTCAACTCATGTCACCTCCATACACACCTGCCATCTTTCTGGGGCAGTGGACATATAAAATCGCCAGATTCCCACCTCGTTCCCCTAGTCTGTGGGAGATTTTGGGGTGTGGAACCGCTGACAGGAGGAGTAGGTCGCGGGGGGCGGTGCATTATGGCTGGGTGGGATCTGGCCAACAGTTTCGTCCTCAGGTTGGGAGGCACCGCGGGGCCAAGGCCCAGTTGCTGCTAGGGTGTTGAGGGGACCTCAGGGCCGACAGACTGAAGCAAAGAGCGCAGTCCGGCCGGCCAGGCGAGCGGTGAAGCCAGCGCGTGAGGTGCGGGTCGCCGGAGCAGCTCTGGCCATCAGGGTGGGGCTGGGGCCGCTGCAGCCCCGGCAGCTTGCGCGTCGAACGCCCTGCGGCTGGGTCCCATATGGCCACCAGGGAGCGCTGCGGCCTCCCGCTCGCCCGCCCCCCAGTAGGCGGGGCCGCGCTCTCCCCGCAGCCGCCGCCGCAGCCGCCGC